AATTTTTTTTTTTAAATATTTATTTATTTATTATGTATACAATATTCTGTCTGTGTGTATGTCTGCAGGCCAGAAGAGGGCACCAGACCTCATTACAGATGGTTGTGAGCCACCATGTGGTTGCCAGGAATTGAACTCAGGACCTTTGGAAGAGCAGGCAATGCTCTTAACCACTGAGCCATCTCTCCAGCCCCCAAGACTTAATTTTTTTTTTTTTTTTTGATTTTTCGAAGACGGGGTTTCTCCGTAGCTTTTTGGTTCCTGTCCTGGAACTAAATCTTGTAGACCAGGCTGGCCTTGAACTCAGAGATCCGAACTCAGAGATCCGCCTGCCTCTGCCTCCCGAGTGATGGGATTAAAGGTGTGCGACACCACCGCCCAGCAAAAAGCAAGACTTAATTAAGGATGACCCTCTCGTGTTTTATTTATGTGGTAGGAGTATGGTAGCCACTGTGTGTGTGTGTGTATGTGTGTGTAGGAAGTCAGTTCTTCCCTTCCACCATGTGGTAATCAGGATTGAACTTGTGGTTCCCAGGATTGAACGAGTGACTTTACTCACTGAGCCATCTTACCAGCCCTCACATATGTTTTGAAATCTGGAATTGATTTGTTCTGACAGTTCTGAGAGGATGTGTAAGACTTTTATTTCCAAAGCTGGCTTTCCTTTGTAATACCTGAAGAAAACATGTCTTTCCACAGTGGACAGAGGTCAGAAGGTCAGTGAGCAGATTGTCATTGGCACCCCCGGGACCGTCCTGGACTGGTGCTCCAAGCTGAAGTTCATTGACCCCAAGAAGATCAAGGTGTTTGTTCTGGACGAGGCTGATGTGATGATAGCAACTCAAGGCCACCAAGACCAGAGCATCCGCATCCAGAGGTAGGACCTGGACCGGGAATCTCCAAAGCCTCCTCTTGCATCTTTGGGTGCTCTGCTCTGCTCTGCTCTGCTCTGCTCTGCTCTGCTCTGCTCTGCTCTGCTCTGCTCTGCTCTGCTCTGCTCTGCTCTGCTCTGCGCAGCAGTATTTGTGGGATGGGCCATTTCCACAGCAGTTCTCAGTATGCTCCCAGCCTGGGGTGAGAAGGGAGACCTGGGACCCTCACTCAGCCCAGTACCACGCTCGGTCTGCTCCTCCCTCCTCAGGATGCTCTGTATCCCACTCAGCCTGTGGGGCTGCAGCCCATGCAGGCTGCGGAGGCTGGGCTTGTGTTCCTTCTGGCAAAAAGCTTGAAGCTGTGCAAAGTGCCTGGGCCTCCACTTGCAGGATGCTGCCCAGAAACTGCCAGATGCTGCTCTTCTCTGCCACCTTTGAAGACTCAGTGTGGAAGTTTGCCCAGAAGGTGGTTCCAGACCCCAACATCATCAAACTTAAGCGTGAA